TGTATATTCGCAGCAAGCGAAATACCAATTCTTGGGTGCATCGTTGGTAAGAACGGTGTACGTCCTGATCCCGAAAAGATCAAGGCGATCACCGACTGGCCTGTGCCAGTCGACGTCAAAGGTCTTCGAAAATTCCTTGAGCCAGCGGCGTATTTGCATAAGTATTCACGCAATTACGCCGAGATGACTGTACACCTCTCTCGTTCGTTAAAAAAGAACGAGAGGTGGTTATGGAACGCTGAATGTCAGCGCTCCTTTGATGGTATCAAGCAGAGCTTGATACAATCCCCAGTCCTAGCGACTGCCGATCAGGACAGGCCATTTCATGTGGTCTGTGATGCCAGCGATTTCGCAATATGCTGTGCATTAATGCAGTACGATCTTGAAGGCGTTAAACGCGTCGTCTGCTATCAGTCGCGTCAGATTCAACCAGCTGAGCGGAACTATCCAGTGCATGACAAGGAACTCCTTGCCATGAAGTATGCACTCGCGAAGTTCAGAGTCTATCTATTAGGAGATAGACCCTTCATTGTTTACATTGACCATGCGTCATTACGCACGGCAGTGAACAGCCCGCACCTTTCACAACGAATGGCGCGGTGGTTGTCATTCTTTGCAGAATACAACTTTACGGTCGAGTACAAACCAGTACGACTTAATGTCGTCGATGATGTACTCTCACGTCGTCCCGACTTGAATCAGTCGTGAAACCCAACAGTGAGGCAGTCACTGTTGCGGTTATGACGTCCTCAGTCCCGTCTACAACGTTGTATGATGATGTGATGCGAGCGTATGCCCAAGATGGTGAGATTGTGAAGCTGTTGACACATCTCTCACAGCCATCTCGAGAATCGTTGAAACGATTGTCGTCTGCGTATCGATCTGCATCAGATCGATACACTACTCGCAACGGTTTACTGTATTATACAGCCGTTTCTGGTGACACACCACGTGTTGTCATTCCAGATGATACTGATCTGCGTTTGCGGATCATGTTCGAGTATCACGATGATCCTATAAGAGGGCATCGTGGCCGTGAGAAAACATATCTCACGGTGAGTCGAGACTTTTACTGGCCCCACCAGTATCAGTTTGTGCGCAAGTATGTTCACGCATGCGAAGTCTGTCAACGAGTGAAGTTAAGTCTTTCACTGCGTGCACCTTTACAGCCTCTACCGGTTCCGGCTGAGTGCTGGGAATCCATCTCAATGGAATTTGGCTTCGGGTTACCCAAAGACGCACGCGGGAATACGGGTATTCTCGTATTTGTTGACAGATTCAGCAAAATGGTACACCTTGTGGCTGTACCAGAGTCAATCACAGCAAGTGGCTGTGCTTGTGTCTTTATTGACACCGTCTTCCGACCTCATGGATTGCCCCGTGAGCTCGTATCAGACAGAGATCCACGATTCACTGCTGATTTCTGGCGTTCCGTGTTCAAATCACTCGGAACGCGCTTGAAAATGTCTACATCTGATCATCCAGAGTCAGATGGTCAGACGGAACGTGCCAATCGTGTCCTTAAAGAGATACTTCGAGGATGCGTACACTCCTTTAAGAGTTGGAGTGCGTTTTTGCCAATGGTAGAGTTTGCCATTAACAACTCGGTGCATGCGTCCACGACACATACACCGTTTTACGTGAACGGCTTACGCCATCCGCGTGTACCCACCTTGCTAGAGTGTGACTCTGGTTTAATGGGGGGAGGGACTCGCGCCAGCAAAAACCGATTTGGCTCGCGCTCATCACGCTCTGACAAAGAGGTCATTGCGTTTGATGCCGATATCGATAACATCGATATCGAAGAAGATGATACCAGTGAGAGTGCGGAAGCCCTCACTGAAGAAAAGATTGTTGTCGCTGCAGTGCACTCACAGCGCACTGAAGCTAACGAGTCAGCATATGAGTTCATGCTGGCTCGTGAAACGGTAGTCTGTTTTGTGCAAGACTCCATCGTCGAAGCGGTGGATAAGCAAAAGAAAAACGCTGACAAGAATGAAAGGGCAAACACTCTTTTATTTAATAAAGGTGACTTAGCCCTACTGTCTATGGTTAATCTACCACGCCATGTAGTGACTAACTTGGGTAGTAGTAAACTAAAACCCAAGTACATCGGCCCATTTCGTGTATTGCACCGCCTAGGCAATGCATACACGATCGAATTGCCACGTAAGATGCGAACGCATCCCACGTTTTACGTTGGTCGGCTTAAGCCGTACCATCAGTACGCTGCTTCTTCCGATGAAGAACTCCCTTGCGCTCAAGCATCTCGCAGAGAGCCTTGTGCTCCCGATGGTGGGCATCGACAAGGGTCTGAAGAGCAGTTATCTCAGCCCGAGACCGTTCAATATCCACACGAGCTACCCTTGGCTCGTCACGTAGAGACGCCAAAGCTCTCTCATTCTCAAGCTGAGCAAAGGCAAACTTAGCTCGATGCTTCGAGACAGTGCCGGCCGGTTGGAGACGCTTGTCCCGCTCATGCTCGAGGTCGCCGCGCAGCGCAAGAGTCACGCAATCTAAGAGGCTCTCGGGGACACACGCTCCCCCACGATAGTTTGGAGAGTGTTTTCCCTCCTCCTTCACCTCCACTGGAGGACTCTCGCGGTGGACAGCGCTATCTGGTTGCTGTTGAACCACCGCGACGTGAACGGACGTCGGACGATTTATCTCGTCCTGTGGCGCGGCTATCCCCCGTCCTGGGATACTTGGGAGCCCGCTCCCAACTGATGGTTGACGTACTGGGTCTGGTTGAGCAGTACGATGCGGCACATCCTGTGCCGCAGAAGGACCGCCGGAGAAAGTCTTCCCGGCACGGTCGTAAAGGGATTTCAGGCTGTCAATCCCTTCGTACATCTCAGTAGAGATACGTACGCGCCACCACGGGCTGGTAAGGAGGTAAGCCTTCTTAGGTGCTCGTGCAGAGTTGTTCACACAACATGGGCACGAGTCTCCCCATGAGAGGCAGGATAATCCTTTCTCCCTTGACAGACGATGCAGCTTATAGCGTGCACCTGTCGGGTTTCGCTTTTCAAACTTATCACGAGCTTTGATAAGTTTGTCGTTCCAAGCGTCACGACCTACATCCTCGAGGTTATGGATGTAGGCGTTCCACGCTTGAAGCAGTGACGGACCATCACGTTTGTGATTCCCACTGTACCATCGATGTTTGAAGAAAACATCGATGAAGAATTCATGTTCAGCGCGATAGTTTTTCGCACTGGGGTCAAGGTGATGGATCCTTGACGAATCGAACAATCGTGTTCGATAACGATCACTCGCCGTCGCCGACAAGTGATCCATGACGGATTTTGGAGGCATCCATGCCTTCTTCTCGGGAGCGAGACGCAAGACATTGCGGTCCCGCTCTTCCTGCGACGTGCCGACAGAAGGACTGGCACCTCGTTGCGAAGTGGTGTCCATAGGAGAACCGACACCACTGTTAGCGCCCGAGTCTCGCGACCTCGAGCGCCTTCGCTTCGGCGATGGTTCATCTGATTCGCCAGATGAACCAAAGATGCTACGACGTGTAGCACCATCCATGCCACGCTTGGCAGGCGGCTTGATTTCAACCGCCTTCGGTATGGATCCCTCTTCCGTATCAGGAGAGTGTGAGACACCGAGCTCATACTCTGTGAAGACATGAGTGTCTTCATGACGAGCGCCTTCATCACCAAGTGACACAGGCTGAGTCGCTTAAGCAACCGATGAGACATCGGTTGCAGTGGTTTCTGCTTCGGCGTCCGCACAGAGACGTGCGGACGCGCTCTCGGCGGCCTTGCTCGCGCATCGCATGGGCTTGTTAACCATGCGATGAATTGTTGGAAAGTGGACTCGGACCAACAAGTGCAAACCCTGTCCCAAATGATTTGGGACGAGTATCCATTTAGTCAATCAGTCACTAAAGTGACCGATGGTTAAGGGGGGGTGATGTAACGGGGTGAATCGTTACATCACAATTTATAAGAATGGTTCTTAGAATATAACTATAAGAGTTATATTCTCAGAATATTGTCATAAGGACAAATACTCTGTAGCACTTACGAGTAGTTCCTAATTGGTTGAGATAGGTCATTATATCAACCAACGAAGACGCGCCACGATAGACGCACGCAATGAGTGGTGAGCAGATAGTTGATCTACACATTTGCATTTAGACATAGTTAGATGAGGATAAAAAGTAGTTTAATAACAGACATTAACTATGATAAATACAGTTCTACTTTTTACTTTAACCAAGTACTCGCTTCTTCTTACCGTCTTCCTCTGCACGTACGAGTGTACGTGAAGTTACGAGGCACCGCCTTATTCTGTCATCAGAATGAGTAGCTTGTACTGTAACCAGTACAAGCTTCAGGGTGCCCTGTTACACAGCAGAACTAAAACTTCTTTCTCCACCATTCCATTGTTAATTTCGTTAGGTTTTAGCGTTCTGCTAGTGAAAGTTACAGGCCAGTATACTTCATCGTGTTCCTGTAGCAAAGCTGCAGATACTGCCCATTCTTCATATCACAGCACTCTTGCATCCTACCTAGTCTGCCATGCGTCAAGAACACGTTCTCCAGTCGCAAAAGCATCTATCAGTCGTTCGTGCTCATCGGCATTCCAATAGCGTCCAGAGCACCGCTTTCCAATAACAGCAGAAGGTTAAACCGACAACTCATTTGACTGATCGAGTACACACGTTCATTATCGTAGTCCGAAATCTTCGACGTATACCCGACTCCACATTGCTTGATCACATTGCCATTTCAATTGAGACAGTACGTACGACAATAGACATGTCGATCTATCCAACCCAGCCCAACCCAGCCCAACCCAACCCAACCCAGCCCATCCCAACCCATCCCAGCCCAACAACCGGGCGAACTGATATCCTGCCAATGAAAACGCGTCATTCGCGCAAAAAGATCGAAGCCGGAAGCCCACGAATGCAGCATCGGCATCCCATCGTTTGAGCTCCACGTGACAAGCGCCAGAAGCAGCGAGCGCGTCAAGGCCCCATGACGCTCAGCACGCTCCCCTTCATCCGTCTCGGGATCGACGTCCGGACAGGCAAGTCCTACCACATTTGCTCGCGCAAGGTCAGTGCAGGCATGCATACATACATTCACTCAGTCAAGTGGTCAATGGGTCAATGGGTCAAGTGGTCAATGGGTCAATGACCTGCTACCTGCTAACCAAGTACTGGATGTGACGTCTGTGTGTGTGCGTGTGATTGCAGTCGCTGCTGTCGTTCGGGGTGATCCTTCTGCTGCTCGTGGCCATGTCGTCCGAGAGGTTCCTGTTCAAGGTCATGGTGGACCGCATGGAGTCGTACAGGTGCGTCCCGTTGCTGCCCTTCAGTCCACGTGCTTTCCTGGATCTGCTTTGTTGTCATCCACTCACGTGACAATCGGGACGAAGCTAGATACGTCTTGTACCAGCTCACGACGTTCCTCTACATCCCTCCCATGTTCTGCATCGTCAGCTACAAGGCCACGCATGGTGTACGTTACTGGCTGCTGGTTTCTGATCTTTTTGTTGCTGGTACTCAACTGAAGACTCTGCTATCTGCTGGTGCAGGATCTGGGAGAAAATGACGGGATGGAGTTTTCCAAGTTCCACTTCTTCGTCATGGGTCTACTTGACCTCGTCCACGTGAGATCGCACGGCTGACACGCATCCAAGTTGTCTACAAAGTACCACTCTGACGACAATGTTCGTGACTGCACTTGCTTTGCCTGCAGGGTCTCATATTGTTCATCGCCGGTGGGCGAACGGACCCGACTCAGACACTCTTGTTCATGCAAGCTTCGATCCCGATATCAGCCTGCATGTCAGCCGCATTCTTCGGTGTCAGGTGCTTATATTGTGCAGTTTCAAATCGACGTGTCCGCTTGCTTATCTGCTCGTTGTTGTGTTGTTGCGAAGTTATACGCGACCCCAGGTTGCAGGCATGTTGGCTATCACTGGCGGTCTTGCTCTGTCGCTCATCGCTTGTATTGAAAAGTATGTACACTGCACCGACTCGTGCATTACGTCGACGAGATACTGACGCCGTGTTGTTGATCAAGCATTGACAGCGATGAATTTGACAATCGAGAGATTGGTTGGAACAGGTACTTTTGTTTAAACTACGCAGCAAATGACAGGGCAGTCGGAACTGACAATGCCTGAGCTTTTCTTTTAGTGTATTCTACCTGCTTGCGGCGATCCCCGGCTCATTGTCCATGCTTTATAAGGAACGTGTGATTCGTGATCAGCCAGTGGATGTGTCTTACCTGAACGCATGGGTTTCGCTGAGTCAGTTTGTTTCTGGACTGCTTGTCGCTCCGATCATTTTCGACGCTGAAGTACGTCGTGTGCTTGTAATCTTGTCTTCTGTTTCGCCTCAAATGGTTGCTTGAGGTTCTTATCATACGCTGCTTTTGCGACGATGCATAGTTTCTCCACCTCGACCAGAAACCCGGTGGTCTCACGTGTTTAATTCAAGGCAAGAGTGAGGTGTCTACGGATCACTGCTATGTACGCTTAGTCTGCCGCATTGAAGTGGTTTTGATCCGTTAACTTACGACAACTGTGCTTATTCAGATGGGCCTTCCTATCTTTATTCTTTACATCTTCAGCAGCATCGTCGTCAATCTACTGCTGCTCGAGCTGCTCCGATTGACCAGTGTTTCAACAATGTACGGGTGCACGCTTGCAGGATTCCTGGCTTCGTTCGTGGTTCTGGCTTGTTATCAAGTGGACCCTGACAATTTTGGCATCATCGATCTCCACGACGGTCTGAAAAACTGGATCCCGTCTTCCGTATACGTGGACGTGATCGCGTTCATGATCATTTTGGCTGGCAAGGTGCTTTACCAGTGGGATCCGGATCCAGAGGTTGAAGTAACCACTTTGTCGGCAGAGGACAAAGAGACCATGTCGTTACTCGATGGAGAAGACGATTACGGACTGCGCTACACATAATGTGCTTGTAGTTTATGACTAGTAACCAAGACAGAAGAACCCGTTGAGAAAGTTCACAGAGTACGAGCGACCACAAACACGAGACGGTTGCGTCTGATGTTTGTATCGACTAGCACAGCATTTGCAGAAGGACAGGTAGGTTACATCCATTTGTGCATGTCGTACATCAGGCGTGTACTCGTCAAAAGTGGTTGACCGCTAGCATGGACAGTCATCGGCTGCAGTTCCTAGAGTACTTCCAATCTGCTCTTATCCATGTGACACTGCTAACTACCTACCACGATGTAGGGTGGCTCCTAAATATGAGGAAACTTTACGGCATCCGTAATCGACGTTCTCGCAGCCAGGCAAGGTGTTGGGCAAAAAGCAGCTGTCGGTCGTCATACGTCCGATTTACAGCCTGATAAAAATGATTACAAAGCTACGCGACCGATCAAACTATCTTCGAGGTCAAGACGCAATGTGAGCCTATGACATCTAAGGTTGTGCGATGCTTGCACCATGGACGCTTGGCGTTTGATGGATGAAGTTTGCATTTTCGAATGGACATTCTGGCAAGCGTGGCTTCAAGCGAAGAACTATTGGAGAGTTACAGAAAGCCCTGGCGTAAGAAGCGATAATGTTGCGATAGACCAAGGATACAATGCGGGCAAGGGATCGTGACCCTACTTCGAGCATGCGGCTCTTCTTTAGAAAGCTTCGTCTGTGAATACAAAATCTGCAGCGTGACACTCTGTACGCGATAGACGAAATACACAAGATCAGAAGCGACCCGAGCACTCAAATTTACAAGATTTGTGAGAAGGTGAACTCTAGAAGTAGGCGAAAGTTCGTTGTAAAAGTGTTTTGTCGTTTTCACGAATAGGGCTTGTGAGCCTTTAACCCAGTTGCGTTTTGACCTTTCGACAATGCACTGATCATCGAAAAGTTGACCGCCAATGGCGTCACAAAGTCAGCAGATTGTTCATTAAAGAAAGCAAATGCTGTTGATGCGTGCACGAAGACAAGCGTTCTAGGGTTCCGAAATCGATACTGAGTCGTCAATATTGAGACACAGCAACCCCTCATCCTTTGAAAGTACTAGCGCAGCTCCGTATTGAAGTGTTTTACAAGCAAAATCATCAACGGCAACGTGTGGAAAAGGTGAATAGATGTTCCAAAAGCATGGTATATCATCGGTTCCTCTGGAAACTATAAACATCTGCAAACAAACCGGTAGTTTCGATCCCAGCTTATTGTGAACGTTCTCCACATTCGCCGAAACGACGAACGCTGCAGCTGACTGCGAACTATATTACTCCAGAGCGCTATGGTCTTGGATAGCAAACGTCTCACCTTCGTAATGCCCAAACACACCTTAGTGTCGATAATCTTGGAACAGGTGAGCAGCGTGATTGGCTAACGCGAGTTCATCTCAAGCGAGATCTCTTGTACCGCTTTAACAAAGGCATCCACATGCACTGGATCCATGTCCGGAAAACAACCATGGCCAAGATTAGCCACGTACTTCTGCGTGCCAAAGCGCTTCAGCATTTTCTTCACTTCGTCATAGATGATATCCGTAGAGGCATAGATGGCACTCGAATCCATGTTACCCTGCAACGAGACGCGACCGCGAGCAAGCTGACGAACCTCAACAGGGTCAGACTGCCAATCCAGTCCAATGCAGTCATATTGAGTAGCCACGAGCTTCTTGTAAGCGTACTGTGTGCCCTTACAAAAGCAGACCATGGGCACGTCGACCTCTGCCTTCACACGGTTCGCAATCTGGGCCATGTACGGGAACACGAATTCATAAAAGTGGTCCTGGGTCAGCGCCTCGGCTCCAACTGTCTCAAAAACCTGAAGTGCCTGTGCACCGGCACGCTGCTGCGCCAATAGAAAGTTCACGCACACATTCGTGATGCCTTGTAGTAGCTTATGAGCCGCTTTTGGGTGCTGATACAGGAAAGTCTTGAGCAGCGCCTTGGTGCGACTGCCACTGCCCTCAATCATGTAGCACATGAGCGTAAGAGGGGCACCCACAAACCCAATCAGCGGCACTTCACCATTGATCTTCTGTCGAGCCAAGTTTAGTGCGTCCAGCATGTAGCCGAGCTTGTCCTCAATATTAGGGTTCAAATCGAGCTTCTGGATGTCCTCAGGCGTCCGAATAGGATCCGGCAGCACTGGGCCCACTTTTGCCACCATCTTGACTTCCATGCCCATCGCCTGCGGAATCACTAAAATGTCCGAGAATATGATCACTGCATCCACGTGATAGCGCCGTAAAGGCTGCAGACTCACTTCCACTGCAAGCGGCGGCACTTGGCACATCTGAACCAGTTTACAAATTTAGCATCAAATATCAGTGAGACAAAAATAGGGATCCAAACAGAGCCGTGTACGCCACAAAAGCTCGTTTTTGCTCAATATCGTGGAGTGTATCCATACCGTGAAAAAATCATAACCCTTTTTGCGTAGCTCTTGGAACTCGGGCAAATGACTGGTCAATAATTCACATGCACCACACGAGGAGTCAGTTTCACTAAGTACGATTGCCATTACCTACTTATTTTGTGTACCACGTACCGTCCAGCTTGGCGCATACACCACACAGGCACCCGCTCTGTAGCATCGCCGCGTAATGCCCGGAGCAATAAATCGTTCTTGAGCTTGGGCAGCAGGTCCAAAGGCACGCGCTCAAGGGGCGTGCGCGTCATAGGGAACGGCAGATCATTACGGAGCTTCTCCTTGTGCTTCTGCTGCTGGCGAAGAATGATAAACGCAGCAGCAGCAGCGGCCGAGAGCGTTACAGCCACGGTCGACGTCACGCCTAGCTCGCCCATTGGTGTTTATGTTAATTTAAACTTGATATCGAAGAAAGACCGATAGGAGCGAGGGCCAGAAGAAAAAATCGATGATTGGTGGAAATAGAAGCAGTCGGATCGTGCGTAATATATGTCATTACTGACAGTACACAAAATTGCGGATGTGGACTAAAACGAATTAATTTAGTGCAATAATTGGAATGCAAAACGGTAAGCACAACGGTAAGACAGTCGAATTCAGGCGTTGGCTCGACCGTTGTCGTTATCGTGGCCGTTGTTATTGTTCTTTCCTCAAGCCTTCTCGTTCTCCTTTCTCTCTCATCATATTGTGACTCGCTTGAGTTTTAACAAGTGTCACTTTTTAATTTGAAGTGTTGAAGCAAATTTGGGACAACAGCACGATGTTTGTGGAGCTGCAACCAGCGCACGGGTTCGTCCCACTGCTCATTGTGGGGCTATTGTTTGTAAACTTGTGGGCTGGAATCCTAGTCGGCAAAGCTCGCAAACGTTACGGCATCGAGTACCCGCAGGTGCGACTCCACTAGTGCGATGAGATACCACAGTAGTTGAGTTGAATCTTGCTTTAAACCCTGGGTGTGCTACTGTAGATGTATGCCGAAAAGAGCGACAAGAATGCAAAGGCGTTCAATTGTGTACAGCGTGGCCACCAGAATATTCTGGAAAACATTCCGATCTTTCTCGCTCTACTTTTCACGTCATCGTACGTTGTGGGGTTGCAACACTATTTGCTTGATAAGAAATCTACGCAAAACAATTGAGTTGACGCGTGTACTATTACATGGTATGCAGAATCTACCGTCCACAGATTGCTGCCACGGCTGGACTTTTCCGCATCCTCGGCTTCATCATGTACATGCGCGGCTACGCATCGGGTGACCCAAAAAAGCGAATGCGAGGGGGATTTGGTACTACGTGTGGTGCTGAGCTTTGGCTTGATAGACAGTGTTGGCGTGACCAGTGTGTTCTTTTTGTAAATCTTGGTCAGGATATCTTGCCATGTTGGTGAATGCTGGCTTGAGTATCGAGGCAGGCTTGCACATCCTTGGACTTCTCTGATTGTGTGAAAGGATGACAAAGATTAATCAAGCATGCACAACGATGAAGGTGAAAAGAGCAGAACGATGTAATGGTAGGCTATATGTTGACGTGAAGATCTAATGGCAGCTTTTGAGTTTCTTTGTTGGCTAACATGACCCCCCTGATTGAATCGATTTTCTCCTTCTCTATGCACATGCTCAGTTGAATATTGCATGTTCTGAGACGGTTTGCCTCGTCCCACATGGTTAGTTGGGACAATCGGTGTCTGCGGATGCGCCAGTTAGATACGATGCAGACTCGTGGCATTTTCATTTCGATTGACTACAGTGCTACCCGACGCATTTTTTATCACTCTTATGCCATCTTCGTGTTGCGATTCACCTGACGGCATCACGCGCGTTTCGCAACTATGCCGACCCTCCGCAGTTGGCGGTTTAGTCACCAGAGAAGCCTCATCTTTATTCGACTCTTACGGGTGCCGATAGGCCTGCGTACCATCGGGGACCACCCATCCAGATGCGACAGCTAGGAACGAAGCTTTCGTACTACAAACGTGACAATCCAAAAGTCTTGCCAGCGGTCCTGTCCTTAGTTGAAGCTTACACAGCGTAAAGCTTCGAAAACGCGCATCATGTGCAACAACAAAGAAAAATAGCGAGAGCAACGGCTTGTACATGAGTGCGTCGGTTCACACAGCCATCATCTGCTTCAGTACGCAAGAATGTACTGAGAAATGATGAAAGCGCAACAATGTGCATTACATGATGAGTTCGTGAGGACAACACAATACTGGAACGACTGGGGATCACACTTCTGCGTGCTATAAACTCAGACAATGGCTACGTATTGATGGTATTCTCGACAGGCTTAAAGAGTGGTTGACTCCGAGGATGCCTGGTCAGAACAGTGACCGCTTCGTGTACAATCGCAGCTGGGGTGGCCTGTGCTCTCAAAACAAACTGAAGGGTGTATTCTGGCTGACGGATTCTGGCAACGGCTGGTACTACGACCGTGTACGTACTGTAGTGACCTCTTGCTGTCCATAAAAACGAACACCTGGACTATGTGTCCGGCTCGAGTGTTGCTTACACGATTTCTAGGTGCCCAACCAGTCTTTCGCCCGCTCCTTGAATGCTTAAAAAAATCTTCATGTGCCGTATGATACGCGTGTGTGGCCAATCTTCGACACACAATCCAGGACATCAACAAATGAACCGGAACGCGTCTTTACGATCACATTAGAAGCATGTGAGTGGGAACGTCCTCCAGTTTTATGCGAGCGTTTTCAAATCTTTGGTCCAAATTCGAGTTACCGGTATAAGCAAACCTGCCTACTTATCCTCGTCCCATCTGCGCTACAGATGTGTCAAAATACTCGGACGATGCTCATGCGCGTGACCGAGATAGCTATACCTTACACGATGGTGGTCTTCTTACCAGGGACCACAAAGATGACCTTGTCCTTGACTGCCGCATCCGCAGACAGCACTACACGGACGTCGTCATCACATTCCGTAAAGTGCTTCCACGACTCATAGTGTAGCGGCACCATCTTCTCTGCTCCAATGTCACTCGTCAACTTGGCAGCTTGTTCAGCGCCCATGGTGATCTGAAGCTGTCCACCTGGAACCGGGAAAATGGCCTTGCCGAGATTTAGCAACGCCACAACAATGTGGTACTTCTCGGGCAACCGGTCTGCCAACTCGGGAATGTGCACCGTATCACCCGAAACGTACACTACGTTTGGCAGACCGTCAGCGTCATTCACGCCGAAAGAAGGTGACTCAAGGACGAAACCCGTGCATTCTCCAACAAGCCAATGTTGCGTAGGGGTCCCCGTGATCTTGAACTGCTGTCCATTTAGAGTCACCTCTACCGACTCCCACGGCGCTAGACCGCAAACGCCTGGACGAGGAGACAAGTTCTTGGCACCGTCAAGGGTTGTGAAGACAGAGCGACCATTCAACATGGTTCGACCCGATGCATCGAGATTGTCGACGTGGTCTTCATGGCTGAGAAGAATGGCGTGGATCACGGGCAAGTCTTCAAGTCCTAGAGCAGGATCTTTAGTCTTGGTAAGCAGCACTCCATTTCTCTGCTCAAACACACCGCTTTTACCGAAAGCAGGATCGAGGAGGAAATTGACGTCGTCGATGGACAAAATGGCCGTCGCCGTGGAGATATGCGTGACGCTGATAGTAGACTTAAAAGACGCTGATGGCATTGTCAGAGATTGTTCCTTAGTTTGTTTTGTAAACGTGCTTGTCGACTTGGAAAGAAAACGCGGAATGCTTTGAAGTCGAAGTTGCAAACTTTGGACCGACGTCACATTCGGGCAGCCTTTGAATGAGAAAGGGGTGGAAGCCATCTGTCGGTTTGGACTTGATGCTTTTGTCAACAGTTTGTGCTGAGAAGCAGTGTCCATGACTTTGGCATGGCATCAAACGGCACATCATATTCACATCAAGACGATTTGTGCTGTAAAAAAATGGGCATGAAACTGTCGCCATCCCCGATTTCTGTATGGCGTGCGCAAAATGTCCGGGGCCTGTTTGATCGAGCCCACACGTTCATTGGGGTGCCTGCATGTGGGGCATATTCATCAACACAATAGTCTCGCTACTCGTCAGCTATGGGTACTGGCTGGACTGTCTCAAGTAGTTTATGCAATAGCAATGAATGATGTTTATGATAGGACATGATGTGATTCTGTATTCATTCGCAGTATCGTAAACAAGAGCTAAATAATGTCACTTCAAGATGATAGGTGGGACTAAACGAACGGGAGCCGTCGACGTGTGTCGATCATGCTATCAGGCTCAGCAATAGCCATTTTTGCGTTGACAAACTGTTGTATGTCTCACGAAGCAATCGATTCCGATTCGAGGGTCACTGACCGTCACTTCGACGTTCATTTAGGTCATGACGTGATGATGTATTCATCCGCGAGACCGTAAACTGGAAGATAAATGTCACCGATCGACCAAGTGTGGGACATGATCAAACGTAAGCCATCGACGTTTATTTGCTGTGTTGGTGCAGATTTGCTGTACACTCTGTACCGATGGCTGACATCAAATTGTTGCGCATATCTTGGTTTTAGATGGAGAACCAACATGGGCTTCGATTTCTAACCAACGATCTCCTGCTACAGTGACGTATTCGGTGTCTTACTGCAACCGCAGAAAGGGTTCGATAAGCTCGAAGAAGGCACGAAGCTTGCTTAAAAATTGTTCTTACTAGTATCCTTCAAAGGCAGCTGGTGGTGGTATTTTCTGCACAAAGAGGTGGAACAGCTCAATCATTTCTAATTCCATGCGAGATGCCGCGAGTTTGTTCCCTTTTCCTCGTCCTCACTTAGATAGGCATGCATCGAATGAATGTGGACGACATTTACAGCATTGCTTTATTTATTGACTGTGCTTGTCGCGCATACTGCGGAACTGAGACGATTAACTTGCGTTTTGACCATGAACATTCCCTCACCACCCCCCCCACTCCTTGTCACGCATGTCGTACGACTCCTTTCGTTTTTGGCATCATGGCAGCGCTCCCAGTCGTAGCTGCTCGGTCTCGCAGCATTTCCATTGATGCTTACGGTATCACCTGAACCAATAGCAGCGCTCCACCTCGCCCTTCTCCTTCGATCGGAGGCTTGTGAGCGCACTTACCGGCATCCCTTCCTCATCAATCATCTGTTCTTTCCATCTTCCAACCCCATGTTCCACGACATCGTTCTTAGCTTGCACGAGAAACACTAAATATGACCCAAGATGCGCAACGAGGCTTCCAGAGACAGTCCCACCAGCACAAGTGTGCCGAAAAAGCCTGCACATTTGATCAGTGAGAAAGGTGACGTTAGTCATGGCAAGCAAACACCAACACGACATTTCCCGACAATAGTTGAGCCGCACCGGATACGACTTGTGCTTTCTTTCCCGAACCACCCGTCGAGTACGTTGTACCGCTCCAAATGTAGCCCACCATGCGCAGCACGCCGGCAGCAGCTGCAGCTTCGGGTCGGTAGATCCTGTTACATGAGCAATACAGTTGTTAACTACACTTGCTCGCTCAACTTTCAAATTTCCTTCAAGCTTTTGTACGTACGAAGACGTGGCGAGCAAAGCATAGAACAGCGGCAAGTTCTCGGCAACGTTTTGCATGATGTTGCAATCTTGGACGCGCGGGTCCTTCTTCTCATTGACTGCTTGTGCAGCCAAGACTTTGCGTGTCTTTTGGTATCCGCCAATACCAAAGCCAGCCCAAGCGCGAACGAGACCGGTGCCGATGAGCACGAGCGGAATGTAGCCATGAGCTGGCTGGAGTGTGATCTGAACGGCCAACACTGACATGATCGGCGAGTAGACGAGTCGATGTCAAGTGGTGTTTGTGTCAAGCTTTGAGGTGCTCGTGTGCTATTGAAGGTCAAAGCCGTTATGACTACAGCGAGCGGGTAGAAGTCGAGCTTCTCTGTCGCCTGCTCACTAGAAAGAGATGATGGCCGACCAAGGTTTCGCAATGTCCTTTAGTTTTGAGCACGAACTCGTGTTGGGTGTAGAACGTATGCCATGTCCGGCCCATAAAGCTCGAAGTTTCGCAGATGGCACCTCGAATTCCGAAACCGCCTTTAACGAGCACTCGGTGGCGTTTTTGAACATTCGAAATGGACGCTGCTGACCTGCTTGGAAATTGTCCCAGCAGGTCAGCAGCGTCCAGGAAGTGTGGATTCAATGCGACAAATGAGGTTGGAATGTCCACACCTGCGTAGGGTACAGAACCTCCGGTCGGCGTATTGACGATCCTATTGTTGATAATGTAGATGAGGGTTAGACATGGAGAGTCACTGCAGCGCTTCTATCACTAGCACGTTGGTACGTGCGACGTATAGCAAGCTTCTCGCCATCGCCTTTTTCTTGATGGATGCCGTAGAAATCAGATGCACTGCGGGTGTTGCGTGACGGTTTCTCTTGCTATGCAAATAAAATTCCGAATGTGGGAGAAAACGCACTATATATTCCCAGCACTTTCGCCAATTCTTCACGCCGACGAGCAAAGGTGTATCGGAGCAGGTTTCGCACGGCGCAAGTGTGTGTTTTGTAAGGGATTGAAATGGTAGCAATCAGTCGGCGACACTGCTGCAGTAAAGCTTTTGTGGGTGATTTAATCTGTTTTTGTGCTGTTGGGCAAGAGGATGTCAGCGAACCGTACAGTTCCGCTGCGAGTAGATCGGAGCTCGAAGACGCAGACAGCGGTTGTTAGCAGATTAGAACATCGACGTACGTGTGCTCTGCCTCCAGTGTCTATCGCTATTCTGCTGCCATGTTTGACCATTAGAAAATATCTACCAAAAGCAATCTCACCCAAGAAGAGCAAAGACGTAACGCACTACCATTTATGAGCGAGATTTCAGTTTCAAGGAGCAAAATCGTCAGTCTATTCGCTGAAGACTGAACCCAGTCATGCTTTGATGGCTGGGTGAGACGCACGGTCATAGTTGCGATCAGCAAGAAGGCGAAAGTTCCCGAAAAGAATAGACAAAGCTTTACCCTCGCTGCCATCGAAACCATGGAATATATCACGTCGTTACTGGCTGCCGTCAGAATTGATTGCCAGCACGTTCGCGAAGATCTTCTCAGTAGCCTCGAATCACCGATACCTTATTGTGTTTGCGGCCTGAGCATCAACTTCAAACGCATCACGAAGTTGATGCACAGACGAAGAGAATAGCCTCTTAAAAAGAGGCTATTCTTGCATGATGTTTACCGCTCAGCTGTTTGACCTCTTAAGCAAGTGCGATAGCCTACTTCTCAAGACTGCAAATGCGAGCGAGTGTGGCAAATATGGGTACACGTTGCTGTTACCAGACGTGCACCGGACGCGTTACCATTGTATTGCTTACGTCTTGCTCTTCGTTGGTGCTTCTGTTTGCTGTACCGAATGACATGCCATGTTGTGTGCACCGTTACTGTAGCATGAGTATTTTGGGATGCTGATGCAGTTAGTAAGCTTTCTCGTCGCCGAAGCGAGTTGCAAAGACAAATTTTAAGTAGTTTCGATACGATGAGTTCATTCGCAGTTCCAAATCTACCGTCAAGCAAGCGGTACTCTCTGACCACGCCAGCACGAGGTGACCATGAACAGAAGCGAGCGTTAGTCAGGAGAAACAGCTTAGCGATGGTTGTATCCATACCCGTATCGTCCAGCAAGTTATCACGGCTCTAAAGGGCTCGCTACAAGCAAATCGGTGGTAAACTACAGCCAAACAAAAGCAAAAAAATGATTACGGAGGACATCAAGGTACATAATGGTAAGCGATGCTCCGGCCGTCTAGCCACGGCCTTCTCCCCACACCGACAAGTGCGCCACCGTCACAAACTTGTCACTTTACCACTATCTCAAGACACTGTAGTAACCCACCCTAAATCGTTAGTAGTTGCTACACTATTTCGACGCACTTTTGGTTTCAACGAAGTCCCTCATTTACGTGTGGTTAGTGTCATAGCCCATCCTGCGCAGGGAGAGTATGGGAGGTGGGGCTCTAATGCACTCCGGATCAATGGTCTAATCATCGGGAACATACGTAGCCACAACAAAAATGGATGCGAGAACACATTGCGAACGGCGTTGTCAGTAATGAACACGTGTACTAAAATGGGTGTACACGTACGGGTACACAACATGTAATTAGGGTGGACTGTGCAACCTAAAAGCAGTGCTCTTGTACAGATGTCTGTACACCCCTTTAAAAAAGCTGCTTGATGGTTTCCACTTCCAACACTTACGAGAAGAGCTATTCACAGCCAGCAAAAAGTGCTATTCACAGCCAGCAAAATTGAGGCTTTCTGCTATGTTTTTATGGACACTAAAGGCTGGAACTGGACATGATCACAGTTGCAGGGTAGTGCCCATTCAAATTCCCTTGTTGTAGACGTAGTGGTGAACAGGTTGGCCGTATCGGTCCACTCGGGACTGGAACTCACTCTCAACACTGTCTGCCGAAATGGTTCCAATTTGGGGAAAAAGAGCGACAGCGCTCGGCACGGCACCCCATAAGCACAGCGTCAACACGACTGTCGTCGATACAAGCATCAAACATTGAATGTCAGCTTGTTTGCTTTGAACATAGGGAACATGTACCAATAGAGGAGTTCGACCTGCGACATGTCACGTACCAAGTTCAGCGGCAAGTTTAGGATACTTGCCCTTTGGCATGACGTTGGTTTTTTTCATCACCTCGTACAGGTACGGCGGTAGCAACAGAACTGAGAATACAGTGACAAGAACACCACGAATCAGAAAACACAATTAACAGACCGTTTAACAGAAGCAGGACGTACTGGGCATCGGAAGTGCGATCCGCGTAAGCGCCACTTGGCCAAGTGATTGGCGACCAGCAGCAACGGATCGTCCATGGACGTCTCCATGCTCATCCATGATGTCAATGCCTTCCCTGAAAATCATACTTGTACAATGAGAGAGAGGCACACAAAAAATCAAGCATCGTGCTCTTGACGTACTGGAACTCGTTAAAGCGCATCGACACTGCGTTAAACGCTCCAGCACTAGCGACAGCGACAAATGGTACCATCTGCCAAAAGATTTGTCCATATGAAGACGAGATCTGATCATGGGAAGCACAAAGCACAAACCTTTCCCAAAAACGAGCGCGTGCTTGGCGAAAGTCGCTTGGCATTCTCCACCATCTTGCCCAAGCCAACGGCCGTCGTACAAGACACGAGCGTAGCGATTGCGTAGGACTCTGAACGATGCCATACAAAAATGCTGAGTCACGACAAACGCAATCCAGCAAGTCAGGTCGCCAAGACAACGTACTGAAAATAGTCGAGTTGTCCTGCTCACTGCTAGCGTTGCGATTTGCATAGTTAAAGCCGGCGCCGTAGCTCTGATTGATCCACTGCCAGAAGATCGTATTTGCCAACTGACAAGTACAAGACCATACATATCAAGCATTAACGTAACGACGATATACCTTCAACATCTCTGGTTGGTATTGCATACCGTGGGTGGGGCGAGTAGCATGCCAACGCATATGGGAATATTCACTGGCACAAAAGCCGACAGGCGAAACACGGCGGGCACCGTTTCACCCGTTTGAGGGTGCACAGCTGCCTCGTAGGCTAGATGTCGCATTGGAGCTAAGTACGGATCCTGGACTTGGAAATGTAGACATCGAAACGCGCTCACCTTGACGAATATTCCAAAGCTCTGCGTTTCCAATGGTTCCCGGGGCAAGGACACCGGTGCGAAAGTCCTCCAGCGTCTTCTTCGTATGCTGAATTTGCTCCGGGCTCAGAAACAGCCACCTACAAATGTGGGACAGAGCTCCTGAATTTGACTTGGCGATGCAGATAGTATATCCACAAGCAATAAACTTGACGTACTTTGGTGACACAAGCGCTGCAAAGTTGCGCCAGCGACCCACGTATGTCGACGTGTCGTGCCGAGACTTGTCTAGCATTGCAACAACATTGTACCGCAAGTGGTAGAACACGATCACTTCCAAGTGGTAAAATGTTGACGGAATACTCAATGGATCGTGTGTTTGTACCAAGTGAAAACGGCGGCGCTTGGTCGTCGGACATTGAAACGGGTGGCTGGATGCGATATCTCACGTCTTTTTGAAGTAGCAGCTACTGGATGAATGGATGAATACGTGGACGATTTTGACTGAACTTCAGGACGGGAGATACCGTACTTAGTCTCGTGGTTCAGATGCATCATCACGGACACTCCATTGGCCAATATTGTAATCTAGCCAGATCGATCCTGACTGCCATGTATCGAGCTGCGTGTCCTGCGCGATCACAAATTACAAACGAAGAAGATAGACAGTCGTAGATTCGTCCGATTATTTTACATTGCTAACTAGTGTTAACGAGAATCTTTGTGTCCTCTTAGTAGTGAACTAGATGCGTCTCGGGTAGAATCAATGGACGCGCAAGGGACCGGTATGAGCTCTATAGACATTCTTCGGGCTGTAAGTGATCTGCAGAGTGTCTTGGTATTGATCGCATTCGCACTCTCATTTCTCTAAAGTATGACTGCGTTAATAGATCGGGGCGTTGGTGACACCGTCAACTGCATCTCTGATAGCTCTCCCTAAACGTCATCAATCCATGCGATGGTCCGTCCGAAATCGAAGATGGGGCTAGAATAAACCATTGCGTCTATTGGTAACACAGCATTCCTGTAACGGGGCACCCTGAAGCTTGTACTGGTTACAGTACAAGCTACTTATTCTGATGACAGAATAAGGCGGTGCCTCGGAACTTCACGTACACTCGTACGTGCAGAGGTAGACGGTAAGAAGAAGCGAGTACTTGGTTAAAGTAAAAAGTAGAACTGTATTTATCATAGTTAATGTCTGTTATTAAACTACTTTTTATCCTCATCTAACTATGTCTAAATGCAAATGTGCATATCAACTATCTGCTCACCACTCATTGCGTGCGTCTATCGTGGCGCGTCTTCGTTGGTTGATATAATGGCCTATATCAACCAAATAGGAACTACTCGTAAGTGCTACAGAATATTTGTCCGTACGACAATTTTCTGAGAATTTAACTCTTATAGTTATATTCTATTAACAATTTCTTATAAATTGTTATGTAACGATTCACCCCGTTACATCACCCCCCCCCCTTAACCATCAGTCACTTTAGTGACCGATTGACTAAATGGATACGCGTCCCAATTCATTTGGGACAGGGTTTGCACTTGTTGGTCCGAGTCCACTTTCTAACATCTCATCGCATGGTTAACAAGCCCATGCGATGCGCGAGCAAGGCCGCCGAGAGCGCGCCCGCACGTCTCTGTGCGGACGCCGAAGCAGAAACCACAGCAACTGATGTCTCATCGGTTGCTGAAGCGACCCAGCCTGTGTCACTTGGTGATGCAGGCGCTGGTCATGAAGACACTCATGTCTTCACAGAGTATGAGCTCGGTGTCTCATACTCTCCTGATGCGGAAGACGGATCCGTATCGACGGCGATCGAATCCACGCCGCCTGCCAAGCGTGGCATGGATGATGCTTTGCGTCGCAGCATCTTTGGTTCATCTAATGAATCAGATGAACTATCGCCGAAGCGAAGGCTCTAGAGGTCGCGAGACTCGGGCGCTAACAGTGGTGTCGGTTCTCATATGGACACCACTTCGCAACGAGGTGCCAGTCCTTCTGTCGGTACGTCGCAGGAAGAGCGGGAACGCAACGTGTTGCTTCTCGCTCCCGAGGAGAAGGCATGGATGCCTCCTAAATCCGTCATGGATCACTTGTCGGCGACGACGAGTGATTGTTATCGAACACGGTCGTTCGATTCGTCAAGGATCCATCACCTTGACCCCAGCGCGAAAAACTATCGCGCTGAACATGAATTCTTCATCGATGTTTTCTTCAAACATCGATGGTACAGTGGGAATCACAAACGTGATGGTCCGTCACTGCTTCAAGCGTGGAACGCCTACATCCATAACCTCGAGGATGTAGGTCGTGACGCTTGGAACGACAAACTTATCAAAGCTCGTGATAAGTTTGAAAAGCGAAACCCAACAGGTGCACGCTACAAGCTGCATCGTCTGTCAAGGGAGAAAGGATTACCCTGTCTTTCCTGGGGAGACTCGTGCCCATGTTGTGTGAACAACTCTGCACGAGCACCTAAGGAGGCTTACCTCCTTACCAGCCCGTGGTGGCGCGTACGTATCTCTAGTGAGATGTACGAAGGGATTGACAACCTGAAATCCCTTTACGACCGTGCCGGGAAGACTTTCGCCGGCGGTCCTTCTGCGGCACAGGATGTGCCGCATCGTACTGCTCAACCAGACCCAGTACGTCAACCATCAGTTGGGAGCGGGGCTCCCAAGTATCCCAGGACGGGGGATGGCCGCGCCACCGGACGAGATAACTCGTCCGACGTCCGTCCACGTCGCGGTGGTTCAACAGCTCCTCAACCAGATACCGCTGGTCACCGCGAGAGTCCTCTAATGGAGGTGGAGGAGGAGGAAAGACGCTCTCCACACGATCGTGGGGATCCGTGTGTTCCCGAGAGCTTCTTTGATCGCGTAACGCAAGGGTTACGCGGTGATCTTGAACATTAGCGGGACAGGCGTCTCCAAATGGCGGACACTGTCTTGAAGCATCGAGCTGAGTTTGCCTTTGCTCAGCTTAAAACGAGAGCTCTGACATCTCTTCGTGACGAGCTAAGGGTAGCTCGTGGGATTGTTGATCGGTCTCGGGATGAGATACTGCTCTTCAGACCCTTGTTGATGCCCACCATCGGGAGCACAAGGCTCTCTGCGAGATGCTTGAGCGCAAGGGCGTTCTTCATCGGAAGAAGCAGCGTACTGATGGTACGGCTTAAGCCGACCAACGTAAAACGTGGGATGCGTTCGCATCTTACGTGGTAACTCGATCGTGTATGCATTGCCTAGGCGGTGCAATACACGAAATGGGCCGATGTACTTGGGTAGTAGTTTCCTGCTACCCAAGTTAGTCACTACATGCTTTGGTAGATCAACCGTAGACACTAGGACTAAGTCACCTTTATTAAATAAAAGAGTGTTTGCCCTTCCATTCTTGTCAGCGTTTTGCTTTTGCTTATCCACCGCTTCGGCGATGGAGTCTTGCACAAACGGACTACCGTTTCACAAGCCAGTATGAACTCATCTGATGACTCGTTAGCTTCAGTGCGCTGTGAGCGCACTGCAGCAACATCAACCTTTTCTTCAGTGAGGGCTTCCGCACTCTCACTGGCATCATCTTCTTCGAAATCGATGTTATCGATATCGGCATCAAACGCAAGGACCTCATCGTCAGAGCGTGATGAGCGTGAACCAATTCGGTTTTTGCTCGCGCGAGTCCCTCCCCCCCTTAAACCAGAGTCACACTCTAGTAAGGTGGGTACACGCGGATGGCGCAAGCCGTTCACGTATAACGGTGTATGTGTCGTGGACGTATGCACCGAGTTGTTAATGGCAAACTCTACAATTGGCAAGAACTCACTCCAACTCTTAAAGGAGTGTACGCATCCTCGAAGTATCTCTTTAAGGACACGATTGGCACGTTCCGTCTGACCATCTGACTCTGGATGATCAGATGTCGACATCTTCAAGCGCGTTCCGAGTGATTTGAACACGGAACGCCAGAAATCAGCAGTGAATCGTGGATCTCTGTCTGATACGAGTTCACGGGGCAACCCATGAAGTCGGAAGATGGTGTCAATAAAGACACAAGCACAGCCACTTGCCGTGATTGTCTCTGGTACAGCCACAAGGTGTACCATTTTGCTGAATCTGTCAACGAATACGAGAATACCCGTATTCCCGCGTGCGTCTTTGGGTAACCCGAAGCCAAATTCCATTGAGATGGATTCCCAGCACTCAGCCGGAACCGGTAGAGGCTGTAAAGGTGCACGCAGTGAAGGACTTGACTTCACTCGTTGACAGACTTCGCATGCGCGAACATACTTTCGCACAAACTGATACTGGCGGGGCCAGTAAAAGTCTCGACTCACCGTGAGATATGTTTTCTCCCGGCCACGATGCCCTCTTATAGGATCATCGTGATACTCGAACATGATCCGCAAACGCAGATCAGTATCATCTGGAATGACAACACGTGGTATGTCACCAGAAACGGCTGTATAATACAGTAAACCGTTGCGAGTAGTGTACCGATCTGATGCAGATCGATACGCAGACGATAATCGTTTCAACGATTCTCGAGATGGCTGTGAGAGATGTGTCAACAACTTCACAGTCTCACCATCTTGGGCGTATGCTCGCCTCACAACATCATACAACGTTGTAGATGGGATTGAGGACGTCATAACCGCAACAGTGGCTGTCTCACTGTTGGGTTTCACGACTGATTCAAAGTCGGGACGACGTGAGAGTACATCATCGACGACATTAAGTCGTACTGGTTTGTACTCGACCGTAAAGTTGTATTCTGCAAAGAATGACAACCACCGCGCCATTCGTTGTGAAAGGTGCGGGCTGTTCACTGCCGTGCGTAATGACGCATGGTCAGTGTAAACAATGAAGGGTCTATCTCCTAATAGATAGACTCTGAACTTCGCGAGTGCATACTTCATGGCAAGGAGTTCCTTGTCATGCACTGGATAGTTCCGCTCAGCTGGTTGCAGCTGACGCGACTGATAGCAGACGACGCGTTCAACGCCTTCTAGGTCGTACTGCATTAATGCACAGCCGATTACGAAATCGCTGGCATCACAGACCACATGAAATGGCCTGTCCTGATCGGCTATTGCTAGGACTGGGGATTGTATCAAGCTCTTCTTGATACCATCAAAGGAGCGCTGACATTCAGCGTTCCATAACCACCTCTCGTTCTTTTTCAACAAACGAGAGAGGTGTACAGTCATCTCGGCGTAATTGCGTGAATACTTATGCAAATACGCCGCTAGCCCAAGGAATTTTCGAAGACCTTTGACATCAACCGGCACAGACCAGTCGGTGATCGCCTCGATCTTTTCGGGATCAGGATGTACACCGTTATTACCAACGATGCACCCAAGAAGTGGTATTTCGCTTGCTGCAAATATACACTTCTTGAGGTTTGCATACAATTGATGCTTTCGCATGATTGTAAGAACCTGTCGGACGTGGTACCTGTGAACCTCAACGTCCGACTTTCCATCCATAGCTCGACTTTGGATGAATACGTCATCGAAATAACTCGGCGCGAATTCTCGTACTGGTCTCAACAGATGTGATACACATCTGTTGAACGTGTCAGGGGCATTACTAAGCCCTTGTGGCATTACTAGCCATTCTAAGAGCATGCCGCTAGGCGTGCTCACTGCGATATAGGGTACATCCCGATCTCGCATAAGGATTTGATAGAAGCCATCCATCAAATCCATGGACGAAAAGATGGTACTCTTTGACATACCATCAATGATTACGTCCTTCCTTGGTATCGGCGTCTGAGCCGGTACCGTTGCAGCATTCAACTTGTTAAATGCATGCACTATCCGCCACCCTCCTGTTGCTTTTCGCACACAGAAGGTCGGAGAGCTATGTGAGGGGGTTGATTCCCTCACATGGCCCGCAGCTAAGCGATCGGCAAAGAACTTGTCGATAGCAAGTACTTGTTCACGAGGCAGTGGCCACTGCTTCATGACACAGTACTTCGAGCCTGGTTTAAGCTCGACCTCGTGTCGAATACCTTTATTCTTCGGTAATTCGCACGGAACAGTTTCAGGGAATACATCCTTGAATTCAACCAAATCTTCATAGAGAGTATTTGTCTTGAGCGATTCCCACGATTGGGAGTCATATCGCTCAACTCGTGTCTTTTAATCTAGGACACTCTCGTCCATAGATGAACTACTGAGAAGTCTCCCGTTCTCAGTAAACACTGTTGCTGACCTTATGTCGGCGACGTACTCGTCGTCAGCGACGAGTACGCACTTCTGCTTGACTTTGCCACTACGCAGATCACGCAAGAACCTTTTATGTTCGAGCGTTGGCAACTGAGTGATCTCCGAAGTCAACTTCGGAGGCGCAATCAGATCAAGTGTATAAGCGCCTACACTTGATGCGTTATTGACTATGACATTCAATGTCTCTGTCATTTCCTGGGGACTTATTCCTTCGGCTTCCCGGAGACTTATTCCCGCGGGTTTCGGGGAACTTGTTTCCGCCTTATTTGCAATATCGGGACTTATTCCCATAACTTTCTCTAGCTGGGGTTGCGTAACCACAGCGAGATCCTCTACGAAAGACTCTCCAGTCGATCTAGGATAATCGTTTCGCTTAACCTGAGCGATCGATTGTTTCTCTTCTAGATGTTCCCCGCTAGGGATACATCTTTGTCCCAGTCCACCCGACTTATTCGAGTGGTGGACCTTCCGCGCAGCCTGTGTTTCCTCACAGCCGCCGGAACTTTGCTCCGAAGTGTAACCGTTTGTTACACTAAGGTTTGTGCAGTCGTACTAACGACCGTACCACAAGTGAGGCTATCGCACTCACTCGTAGTACATCCACACGCTTGTGGACGCTCCAAAACGTTCATCAGATGGCCATCTGATGAACAAGCGGCAGGCATCGTTACTGTTCGATGTTGCCAGTTTATCCGT